TGACTTGACGAGGTACAAATCCATTTACCAGGATAACAAAACGTTATACAAGTTGTGTTTATGCTAACAAAAGTCAATTTATAGAAATTTAATAGCAACGGTTTCTGTAAAGAAAGTCATCAAATTTTACTTCGTATACTGATTATCTTATAACCTTGACTGACCTCAACCTAATATCCTGTATCGATTAGATACCAGACGATTGCACTTTTAGGCATTATCATGTCTTTCAGATGTTAATTGTTAGGCATCTTCTCAGAACATCTAGTAGAAGCTCTCCGTTAATTCATTCATGTGTACTTGCTATCTCAAGTGCTTTTAAATTGCTACATACTGTCACAAATGACATGAGCAAGATAATTGTCATTTTTTTGACTAAACCAATGAGTATTTTGTGTTCCAGGTAAAATCAGCCTAGTCCTTTTTCAGTACACCCACAATTTTCACTGATTCTTATTATTACTTTCTTTTCTTTATACGGAAGACGATCATTTATTCAAACTAATATCCACACAAAATGGAAGACCTACAAGCGAAAACCGACAAACTGGTCGAAGAAGCAGTAAAGATAGAACTCCAGGTGAACATAGACAAGACGGAGGTTATGAAAATAACCAACCAACAACAACAACAGCAGCAACATCCAGCACCAATCACCATCAACGGAAGGGATTTGAAAGAGGTTACTTCATTCACTTATCTAGGGAGCATTGTCTCAACTACAGGAGAAACGGACGAGGATGTCAAATCGAGAATCGGGAAGGCGAGAAACACATTCATCCACCTGAAACCAATCTGGAAATCTTCGTCACTCAGCATCAACAACAAAATTCGGATTTTCAATACAAACGTCAAGTCAGTTCTTCTATACGGATCAGAAACTTGGAGGGTAGCAAAGAATATTTCCAACAGCCTGTTGCAGACCTTTATCAACAGCTGTCTTCGTTCTATACTGAAGATCAGATGGCCGGAAAGAATCACGAACAAGAAACTATGGGAACAAACAAAACAAGAACCAATCACTAAACAAATATGCAGGAGAAAGTGGAGATGGATTGAACACTGGCTGAGGAGGCCGTTGGGTGACATCACGCGTCAGGCCCTCGAGTGGAACCTGAAAGGGAAGCGGCGAGTGGGACGTCCGAGGGTGACATGGAGGAGATCGTGTGAAGAGGAAGTGAAACAGTACGGATTAACCTGGAAACAGGTGGACCGTACAGCAGAAGACAGAAGCATGTGGAGACGTGCAGTTGAAGCCCTATGTTCCACTAGGAACCCAAGGGAACAATAATAATAATATCCTAGTACATAAGTTCTTAAGATACGAATACATCAACATTAAAAAATGGAGCTGCTTTTCAATCCAGAAGCTTCTTTTTGAAGGTAAAGGAAATAGGCTAACAAGCCACTTATCTGCTGGTGAGAATTTAGCATGTTAAATAAGATAAATTGTTTCACAGAATTCGTTTCATGATCGCCTTTGAATGAGTAGCATTTGTTCTTCATGTTACTGAGCAAAAGAAATATCATCCTTTGATGGTATTTTACTTATCGCTTTACTTGAGTGCAAAATATTTTCTTCATTGTATTACTTATTAATTTTCTCAATGGGAAGAATTGTATGGGGTTTTTATTGATCTGCTTAACACTTGCATTGTATTGTTTTGTACATACAATATTAGGCAAAGACACTCCAACAAATTTATTACCAAGTAGTACACTCGTATATACATATGTGATTATGAAAAGATTGTTGTAACGGTAGAAGGAGATACCACAGCTAGCTCACGAGGATTAGCTGGTGTTGGGGTAGCTTTGAGTACTAGGGCAGAAAAGACATTACTTGACTGGATCCCGGTAGATAGCCGAATGTGTGCTGTCCGTCTGAATGGATCAGTAAAAAGGAGAAAGGACTGCACTAGTCGCCGATACCTTTTCGTAATCTCCGCCTACGCCCCCACTGACTGCAGTTCGGATGGAACGAAGTATGAGTTCTACCAAAAGCTGTCTGGTTTGCTGCGAAAGGCTAAACGCTCAGATATAGTTGTTCTAGCTGGTGACTTTAATGCCCAAGTGGGGAAATTGTGTCAATCTGAGAAGGATGTCGGTGGCACATACGGAATTCCGTGCCAGCGAACCGACAACGGTGACCGTCTCCTACAGTTCTGTTCAGACAATCATTTGTTTCTTGTAAGCACTAACTTCAAACACAAGGAGACACTGTTTGACCTGGCGACCCCCATCATCAAACCAACGCTGGACACAAATAGACCACATAGCAATAAGCTATCGATGGCGTGGGTCGGTAGGAGACTGTTGCTCCTTCTGGAACACGTGTGTAGGTACGGATCACGCACTGGTCCGCGCTAGTGTGTGCTTACGACTGAACGGACGTAGGAAACAGCTAGCGGTAAACCCATCACGTCCTCAGCTCGATCAGGAAACTAAGTCCCTATTTGAGGAAGAACTGGCTAAACACATATCTGAGTTCGACAGCTACGCTCACCCTGAAGAAACCTGGAAGAATATTCAGTCAGCCATAGATACAGCTGTAAAAGCTGTGAATAAGGTAAACCCAAAGGTGAGTAAAAACCACTGGATTTCGACTGCCTCATCCGAACTGATAGATGCTAGAAGACTTATTCCGGCGAGCTCCGAATTCAATGAGGAGCGAAAGCTGCACAAAAGGAAACTTACGAAAAGTCTCCGCAAGGACCGTGAACAGTGGTGGGTGACAAAGGCGAAAGAGATGGAAAAAGCATCGGCGATAGGCAACACTAGGCAACTCTTTAGACTGATCAGGGAAACTGGTGGGAGAAGGCAAATCATAAGTGAGACTATTTCTGCGAAAAATGGCTCCTTAATTAGCTCTCAGTATAGACGCCTTGAACGCTGGAAAGAACACTTCGAGGAACAGTTTAACTTGCCCACAGCCACACTGAGCCTCCCCGCCGTCCAGCACACACCCGAATGGGACATAGACACTGGCCCGCCATCTGCAAGTGAGGTCACAAAAGCTATCTGTAATCTGAAACGAGGCAAAGCGGCAGGACCCAACGGAATTATTCCGAAGGTGTTTAAATATAAGGGTGACATACTAGTATATAATTTAACTAAGGTACTAGGTAACGTCTAGGAATCAGAGACGGTTCCATCAGACTGGGGTAAGTCACTTATTATACTAGTATTCAAGAAGGGAGACAAGTCCTCATGTGATAATCATAGAGGAATTAGCCTAACGAACATAGTCTCTAAAATCCTAGGCTCAGTAATCATGAACAGACTAAGCCGAACTCGGGAGGAACAAACGAGGGAAAATCAAGCGGGCTTTAAGCCAGATAGAGGGTGCATAGATCATATCTTCACTCTCCGACAGATCCCAGAACATAGACACACTTTTAGGCGTCCAACAATTGCCATATTTCTTGACCTGAAGGCGGCCTTTGACTTCGTGGATCAAAAGGTACTATGGCAATGTTTGACTGTGAAGGGAGTGCCAAGAAAGTACATTGCACTAATCAAGGCACTCTACTCAAACTCACGTAACCGTGTAAGGGCTTATGGGGAATTGTCATCTGAATTGATAACAACCAGTGGTGTCCGTCAAGGATGTCCACTCTCCCCATTTCTGTTTAACTTCGTCATAGATATGCTAATGGAAGTATCCTTTACTGAACTTAACGACTTACGAATCGACTTGTTACCAGGGAAAAGTCTTATGGACTTAGAATATGCAGAGTCTTCTGAACACCCTGAGCAGCAATCTTCGTATGTTTGGCATGCGATTCGCCCCTGGGAAATGTAAGATGCTGCTACAGGACTGGACTACATCAACTCCTAGCTTAGTGATAGGGAGTGAAGTGATAGAACATGTTGACCACTTCACCTATTTGGGAAGTTGTATCAGCGCCAACGGACTGATTGGTGACGAAATCTCAGCACGGATCCAAAATGCTCGAGCTGCTTTCGCTAACTTACACCGTCTCTGGCGTAGGCGTGACATCCGCCTATCAACCAAGGGACGTGTGTAGTGCTTAGCAGTTCGCTCCGTCCTTCTCTTTGGCTCTGAAACATGGCCAATACGAATTGATGACATGAAAAGGTTGACTGTTTGTGATCATAGATGTCTATGATCTCTTTCTCACGTTAGGTGGCAAACGAAAACATGGCATCAATCCATGAAATCCTTGACAGTTAAACTGAGTCAGGTAGGGAGATGCAGACTTCCGGGTTGGGGCCCGCCCTCGGGACTCTAAGAATCAATGGCTGGAAACAATAGGTGACATGACTCAAAATCGTTGTCAATGGCGCAGATGTACTCAGTCTCTGTAATCTTTCATATTCCTTTCTACCATACTTGTCAAAACTCTATTGATTCTCCTCACTCATCTTCTTGTCTACCTTTGTGTGCTCTTTGGAACGTGGCAACTCGAACTGCTGCACTTCGGTGCCAAGTTCTGTGTTGAATCCAGCCAGCCAACTGGATTTCTTATCGAGTTGTGCGTGACAACTGTCCATAGTAGAACGAAATAGTCATTCAGTGGTCTTCAGTTTTGGAAGATTCTTCTTGTTAATATTTATTCTCAACAGAATCCAAAACCAAATGGTAAAAATTAGTTACCTTTATTTCAGCTGTTCATTCAGTAGAATTAAGTACTACTGGTTATGATACCTGTCATTATTATGGACTCGTAAAATGTGACTCATAACTTTTCATACTTTTATAAACTATGTTGTGTGCCTCTATATCTATTGAATGACATTTAACAATACTACTTTACCGAAATGGTTATTTTTCAGTAGACTGATTCATTTATGAAACTTCAGTCAACTGACTGACATTTAAGCGCTTGAACCAATTAATTTTGATGATTATTATTATTAATCTTTGTGGATGACATCAACAAATGACAGTTTGAATTTACAATGAATAATTTTCATGGACAAATGACGTGTCTTATAAATAACTGAATAGTATGTTGTATTATGAAACGAGAAGAAAGGAACAGATATGTCTGTACACGTGTTAACACAGTGTGCGCCTGCCTATATGCAAGTTCACATGAATTTCAAATTTCAGCTAAATTTTGTCCACTAGTAATTTTAATTTAACATTGTATATAAATAATGGTGATGATAATAATAACAATAGCACCTCATAATAGTTTAACAACTTCCATTTTCAACTGAAACTCTCTAATCTAGTAGTGCATCATTCAAACGATCTAAATGAATACAAGTATCTTTACAACACTAATTATTGTCTTTATAGTTTACCTAAACTTGACAACAATTGATGCTAAACCATTTAGAACCAAGAATAGGAAAAATGAAAATGATGATATAATTATTGATAACGATTATAATATTGATGATGATGATAATAATAATAATAATGAACTTACATCATATGATGAAATAAGAAGAATTTTTCAAGAAGATCCAATACATGATAAACAACCCTCGAAAACTACATCATCACCTATGACAACAACTACAGTTAAACCAGAAAAAGAGGAAAATGATGATGACTTAGGACTGAATGAAGCAGATGATGGATCACCTTGCAGTGGTGGAGGCACAATATTCACTTACACAATACACAGCACTGATGAAGATGATGACAGTCAAGCAGATTCAGGAAGACATGATTATGATAATGTTGGTTCAGAAGAGGATTATGACTATTACCAAATGATTCCATGGTTTAGAAGAGATCAGCATTATCGTCCTTCAAGAGGATCTTATCGTAAACCTATACGTGGTACATGGTACTCATCGGATCATTATTTTCCATTCTACATTCCACATTAATAATTAAACGCAAAGTAAAGATATTTACTACATATTCTATGTTAATCATTATATTCTGGTTAATAAGACAATAGTGTTGATTTCTCATCTTTATATATAATATAATGTCATTAGTTAAAAATGGTAGCCTTCTTTTTAACAATATAGATTGTTAGCTGTTTAATGTAATCGAATATTTTCTCATAGCGTGTTGCGTAAGATTTACAATTTATGAAAAGTATATTAGTTAATTTATAAATGCATATATAATTCAAGAGAGTTTCTGAATTATTTACCAACCAATAGTTGTAACTCAGAGGTGAAATCCCTAATGATCAGTTGGTATAATCATCGATATTTGTTACATGTGGCTTAAGTGAATTCTAGTTCTACTCGGTGAGGTGCATCATAGCGATTTAACAAGTCTAGTTCAAGATTATTTATGAAAGTCATAGATTTACTTGTCATCTGAACAAACAACTTGAAATGTTAAATTAGGCTTACGATAAGGCTCATTTTGCCATTCATAATTGTTTTACTATAACATAAGCTTTTTTTAAATAAGGAATGCACATACACGTCGTTTATAGACTAAAGAATTTCCACCATTCATAGGTGACTTCCAGATAAGAGAAAGAAAGATCTTCTTGAATTATTCAAAATATTTAACCCTAAGATAATTTAAATAATATATATTTACTACTTATGAATAGGCAATATTATATCCTCTTTCTCAACACTGACCAAAGTACTTCAGTTACGAAATACAACCTTGTGTATAGACTAGCTACATGGTGTAAAATCAGAACTGTCTAACTTCAGCTTCAAATAATTTAAACAGAAAGTAATCAATCCACATCAAAATTGTATTTTCGCGTTTTACGAAAACCTAATATTCAATGGTTGGCTTGTAAGGATTAGATTTGTTTTGTTTTTTTAACCTAATAGTCTAATGAGTTTATTTCATTTCTGAAAAAGGAAAACTGTATGATGTTACATGTTCTAGCTCATACTTTGACTATCCTAAGTTTCTTTACAGTTCAGTTTTTGCGATCACTTTAGGCATTATCTTCAGTGCACCATACTAGGAAGGAGAATTAATTTCTTCTTCATGAGTACTATTAAATTTAATTATTTATAGGATTTTACAACTACAAGAATTCTTGACTCCCTCCTTTTTTGCTTTGACTGAATTGTCAAGATAAATTCAGCTTCTTTAGACCATTAGTCATCAAACCCAACAACAAATGCTTTCATTAACATTCCTAAAGATTATAACAACAACTTTTCTCACTGTAAAAACAAATTAGTATGACTTCGCGATTGACGTCGAGATCTGTGCAAATTAAATCTCAGATTCGAAAAACAATCAAATTATCAGAAGCGTTAAGAAAAGCCTTAAAATAAACTCTGGTGCTAATTTCTCTCACCTCAACTAAAAGACAAAATTTGATAATTATTGAGTGATAGTTGGCTTTCAATTACAGCACAGTTTCTTGAAAATAACAAAGTGAAGGGAAGATTTCATTCGTATTACCCTCCACCTACTATGATTAAGAAGAAAATTTTAGAAGTGGTAGTTCCTCTTATTATTTTTATGTAGCCTCCATTGGTAAGTCTGTAATCTGAGATTTCGAATTCTCCCTACAAATTTGTCCAGCTTGGAGAGATCTTTTCCTTTACTTTCATATTTGTTATGTAGCCTATTAGATTATATCATAAATTACTTAAAATAATCCCAGCGCTCAAATTGTTCTAGGGAATTCGTAACACCTATGGTCTAGATATTTATAATCTTTTGAGACTATATGTCTACACGTGCAGTGTTATCAAAGACGTCGACTGACTGGTATAAATATCAAATATCTGTAAGCTTAATATAAATATAAAATTTCAATTAAATGAATAAACTGAGCCACTAATACACCGACCATCAGCTTAAGGCCTAGATGTTGATTTTTAACAATTAGTAGGTAGGATTACGTGTTTTTCAGATATTCTGATACATTAAAGTCTGTATGATGATGTATGGCTAATTTCTGTTAAAAATAAAATCTCTCCTTCATACCACTGAAACTTATTCCTGAAACTGTCACAGTAATTGCACCATATCACTGTCAGAAACCAGTTCGTTTACAATGACTTACTATCAATGAAAGTGCGTAATTCTTTCTGTTGTTACTTAAAGAATATCAATAGTAAATTATTAAGAACATCAGTGAATGAAGGCCTCCATCATGTAATTTACTAACGGACAGACAGAATACAAATAGACCTAATCCCTTCCTTCAGTGCCGTGAAACTCAGTAAAATATCGAGACACCTCCAGTTACTAACCGACAGTCTAATCTGGTCAATATCAGAAAGAAGATAGGTAGAACAAGGCGAATTTTACCATAGTAGTTGAATATATACTTTATATCAATGCTCATGGGAAGCAAAGTATCAACAGAATGTATATCTTTTATGATTTCCTCATTACAAAGCGCATACATTTCTTTCTCTATTAGATTTCCATCTCGGAGTAACCTTTATAAAGAAAATATATGCTGTAAGAGAAATTAACTACTGGAAGATTAGGAAATGTTTCCATTCTCTAATTTGATGTTTAAGGGATTTAATGATTACGAACCATTCTTAAGCTGATATAGAATATCTACAGTAGACTTCCAGTGATTATGATGACATATATCAAACTGGAACATTTGTTGATCAAACTCTCAACTTAAGAACTATTCAGTCGGAACAGCAAACTATTCATGTAATTTCGATTTTTTTCTATTCCTTCACATTTCTGAGGGGAAAATAGGACTTCAAGCTTCAGCTCTGAAGTTTCAGTAGAGGTAGTGTTGTTTTATTTTAACGACGGGGGGGGGGGGGATTGTTAGCCTCACGCCTAACCTTCTGTCTTTAACAGGCTTACTACTGACTGACTAAGCGAGGTTCAGGAGTGCGTCGGTCAGGAATCGAACCTGGAACATTATTTAACCTCAGTTCAACTGCATGTCAACATTGTAATCTAAATAATATGCCTGTATATAAAAACAAAATTATATATATATCGAATGAACAAGTTTCTTAAGGGGTTAAAACAAACAAGAATCTAAGTATCTTTCCCATTTAGAAAATGCATAAAGAATGGGATCTAGTCTAGGAGGCAGATTTGAGCTTTAGGGGTAAACATAGTGAGATAAATCTTATGTGACTTTCAAATTAAAATCTTAAAAATCAATGATACAGAAGGTTCCTTTATGCATATATCCCATCGTTACCTTCAAAAGAATTTTAGTTAAAGAAATTACACTAAACCTCTAAATCATTTGATGTCAGTAATTTCACGGGGACAAACATAATACTGATAATGGAAATTCATGAACTATTTTGCAAAGTGCGATTAATTAACCATCAGACTTAATAACGTAACACAGTATATTTGGTGCTGGATACTTGAGAAATCATAGAATAAGTGAAGAAGGAGGTGAATTCATGCTTCGTTTTACTAAAATTAATGAAGTTATTGATGAACTGCATATTTATCACAGTGCTGAATTTATTCTTACAAGAAGATTTTGTTGTAAATTAAAAAGAAGTCTTGATGATGAACTACATCGACTTGTAACTAAGTAGTGGTTGGTAGAAACTTACAAAATTTCTGTATTTTCATGTATTTGATAAAGTTCATTTTGTTGATGAGATCCCATGTAATTGCATATAAATTCTAGTGATTCCCGTAAACTTACTTCAACTCTCTTTTAGTAGAGAAATGTGTAGTAGTTAAATTGTTTTCTATAGATCAAATGATAGTGTTGTTATCATTAGTGTTCATGTTGACAGGAGTAGCCATTAATAAACTAATGTCTAAACAAATCAATTGTAAGCTCCTGTTTAATACAAAAAAGGAATTATATAATAATAAAAATATCAAAATAACCGTTTTTATGAAACACTGTTTGAACAGTCCTCTTCAAGTACATGAACCTATCACTTTTTACTTGTGAGAGTAATGGAAAAGTAGTATTCATTACAGGTGTTCTCAAACACTAATATCAAGGAATTATAGAATAATATCATTATCAGATCGATCTGTTTATATAAACACTTCTACTAAGATGGAAATTATTCTTCAACGTATTTGCTTCTTTATAGTTTAAGACAATCTGTTTTTCACAAATTTGATTTATTAAAAAGACGGCTACAGCGCAGAAAACTTTATTTTCAACGAATTCATCAACTAGTCTGTACATTCGTGTATTTATAGTAAATGGGTGAATAAGTTCCAAAATTATTTCCGGTTAAAGGTTAAATTAAAATTAATAAGTGTATTAAATTGTGCGTCAGTGGCACAGCGGTTAGCACGCTCGCCGACCATGCACATGGTCCGAGGTTCGATTCCCAGCCGACGCACACCTGATATCAATGGTCGGTCTGCTAAATTTGGGCTACAGATATCACATGCTAAAATTCCATACTTGTACTGAAAATACGGTGTAGAATCAAGCTGTAATAAAATCAAAAACAAACAGAAGATAGATAGTAGTACTATTCTGGAAATATTTCAGGTCAAAGTAATAAAATTACAAAGTGTAATAATCAGGAAGATCGGATAGAAAAGACATTATATGATTATAATTACTCAAAGACTTAATTGTTTCTACAAATTACGGATCAAGGACGAGTAATAACAAAATAGGTAGGAAGATCGGATATATAAAAACTTTTTTTTTAAATAGTGACCAAATCTAGTAATGCAGATAGGAATTAAAAACGTAAAAATAACAGAAATAAACGGGAAGGTTGGACAAGAAATGTAACTGCATAATCATTATTGGTGGGACTGACTTTTCATGATGGTCATGATAGGGACAACGGTTGGACGTATTTCTTAAGAACACATAGAGTAAGCTTCAGTTTTGGATCTCCAGTGCTTCAGCTATTCCTAGATGTCTTGATTTCACTCCCTTTGGTAGGTTTGATCGGATCTTGTATATGGCTTTGAAGGACTTTTCAGATGGCCCTGAATTCACTAGATGTTATGTTACCTAACTGTATACACCTTTGAGTTCTCCCTTTGCCAACCATGCTGGGTAATGTTCCTGAGCTCGTCTTACAAGCGGATGCATGGTACGGCCAATGATTATACAGCAAATAGTAAGTGTCACTGATCAAGTTTTTTCTAGAAATTTTCATATTATGAAATTTGGATACCAGTAATGTACGTTGAAACATACTAAATGATCATCGTAGAAATGTACAGCTTAATGGTA